AGAGCAGCCGCCGCCTGGCCCCATGGGTCGCCCCCCCTCCTCGCTCTACGGCCAGGCCGGACTGTTACTCACCCCGGCCCCGCGCTTCCTCTGAGTCTCCCGGGCCTCCCTCCAGAGCTTGCGGAGGGAGGGGGAATGGTGAGCCCGGGGAAGAGGCGGGGATTCAGGGAGGGAGCCAATCGGGGGAGGAGGGGGCGGAGGGGGGGGGTGCGAGCACTTCCGGGCTCTAGGCTCGGGGCATTTCCTTGTTTGTCCAGTGTCCCGACTGCATGTCGGTCGGGACACGGGACAAACAAGGAAATATCGGGACAGTCCCGATAAAATCGGGACGTCTGGTCACCCTAACTAATAGAAGCATTCTAACTAAGGGACTGAGGACCTTCCAATGATTTGGAAGCAACCAGAGACTTGCCTTAAGCCAGCAGTTTATTCCATCACGGCTTCAAGCCTGAACCAAGAACTTTGCAATTGTATGTATTTGATTCCTTTAACCAATTTTAACTCTCACCTTTCTTTCTTTTTATAAATAAACCTTTTTTAGTATCTAATATCTAGATTGGCAACAGTGTGATTATTGGGTAAGATCTGAGTTATATATTGACCTGGCTGTGTGGCTGGTCCTTTGGGATCAGAAGAACCTTTTATTTGATGAAATTGGTTTTTAAAGAACCATTCATCTTTAAGTCTAGTGATTTTGGTGGTGATATAAGGACTGGAATGCCTAAGGAAACTGCTTTTCTGACTTGTTAGCCAGTGTGGTGAAACAGAAGTTTACTTTTGTTGCTGGTTTGGTATATCTTATGGGAGAATAACCACCAGTTTTGGGGTGGGTCTGCCCTATTTCTCAGCAGTTTGTCCTGAATTTGGTATGTGACCCACAGAGGCACAGTTACAGGCACCACCCCAGCAGAGGGTGATGCAGAGCCACACTGCTGGAAGAAGTGGCGGGGGAAGGGACTGTGACTTAAGGCCTGATCCAAAGCCCACTGAATCAACGTAAAGACTTCCAATGACTTCACTGGGCTTTTGGCTCAGACCCAAAGAAAGGTACAACCCCTCCCTAAGCTCCCTGGCATACAAGAGAATGCACCGCAATGAATCTGGCAGCGTGTGGGATCAAAGTTGAGTGGGGTCATGGTCCTCAAGGGGGTGATGTATGGCCCTTGGAGCAAAAAGAGGCAGCAATCTCTCGGCATCTGTGAGCACCGCAACTGCATCTATCCCTGCTCTTTGTCCCCTTCACATACACGCCCAGGACAGTATGGCCTAATTGTATTTTTCTTTGGTTTTTGAGTCTGTAGAGTTTGATACAAAATTTGTGAATTAGAAACAAAAGGGTTTGTTACACAGAAAAAATAATTTATCTGGAGTTATGTGCCAAAGTAGACTTTCTTGAAAGTGGAGGGACATTTTTCTGCAGTCGTAGATAAACATAGGCCAAGACTATAACAGGGTTCAAAAAAGAACTAGATAAATTCATGGAGGATAGGTCCATCAATGGCTATTAGCCAGGATGGAAAGGGATGGAGTCCCTAACCTTTGTTTGCCAGGAGCTGTGAATGGGCAACAAGGGATGGATCACTTGATGACTACCTGTTTTGTCCATTCCCCCTGGGGCACCTGGCATTGGCCACTGTTGGAAGAGAGAATACTGGGCTAGATGGACCTTTGATCTGACCCAGTATGGCCGTTCTTATGTTGTTATACTAGACTAGATTCTCATCTGCACCCAAACAAAGAAAATGCTTCTGGGTCATCGATCCTGGGATTTATTCTGTAGTGGCCTGGTTCGCTCAGGGCTACTCTAAACTAGACCAGCTGGTGAGAGCTCCAGGGGACTTCTTAGCCAACTGAGGAGTCCTTTAAACCAGGAAATTTCAGCTGGACATGTCAGTCAGCTATCCAGCCTCCTTGATACAGCAATATATGGCTTATTGTGAGGGACAATTTGGCCCGCTGCATTTACCAAATATGCCACTGCTTTGAATTAGGGTAGGACAGGGCCCTTCATACACTTGTGGAAGTTGTGTGAAGAACACTGGTCAGTAGTACTGTATTTTTTAAACTATACAAAAAAATGTCAACAACGTCCCCTAATACCTGAGTTATGATGCTCATATATCCACTAATTCATGGGGAACTCTTTTAAAAGTATTTTGAGCAGAACTATTTGTCCAACATTGGGCAGAAAGACAATTATATCACAGGATTATATT